ATTTAATCAACCAAATGTTAGAATGTAAAAAATAAAAAAAAATAAGATAAAAGAAGATACCCTTAATTAAGATCAAACTATAACATAATCCTCTACACTCTTACTTTTATCACCTAAGTCATGAGGAATTTCCAAAAACATTTGCATTACATTTCCGTTGTATATGAGTTGAAATCTGCACATGCAATTCTAAATACAATTACTAAAACATGGTTCCATTAGTATGATTTTTTTAAATTATATTAAACAGCACTTGTACCTCTGAATGTTAATATGGTAGAAAAATCTTGAGCATGGTTATAAGTCTACAAACACCTTTGAATAAAACCTTCGATAAAAACAATGCCAACATTGCAGAACAATATCATGCTATGGGATAATTAGCATCAAAACAATCCACCTATAAATATGTATGACAAATTCTGCACAAATTTGAAAATCTATAACATATATATGTTAAAGTCCATGTTACAGTTCATATTAGAGTTTATGTAAAACCTGTTAAAACATAAATAGAGATTATTAAATGTTCACATCACAACCTGAAAACAAAGACTTTGACTCAAAACTAATCCAGAGCACAATCCATTGTGTTGAGCATCAATAAGTCCTCTCTGATATATTTAAATGGCTGTGTAATTACAATCAGTCTCTTTCTCTGAACCAATTTATCAGTCCAAGTTCTGAGTAAACATGCTGTATGCTGAAAACAGTGGTATCAAGGGGTATTGTTTTTAATGGAAAGTTCATCATCTCGGTCGACATTATCATGGTTTGTTTTCTGAGTCCAACCTTTGTGATCACTGAAGACTTTAAAGATGACCACTAACAGAAGTCCAAATCTAATTATGGCAAAACTCACATTTAAATCTGTTTTAATGTCCACAATGGCATAGCTCCAGCATTAACCCTATGTTAACTGGGGGGGGGGGGTCAATTTGACCCCCCCCCTGTAGAAATTTCGCGACTACTCCGAAACCTCGGCAGATATAAAATTTTCCTCTCATGACTTTTTTCTTTTGAGTCTTACGCATCTTTTAAAACGATTTTTTCGAAAATCGGACGTATAGTTACAAAGTAACGTGACCTTTTGTCTTCGCATGTCAGCCCGAAAATCGCTCATTTTTGTGATTTGTGTACAAAACATATGGAAATGTCAATTTTCCTAAACAGAGATAAAACATTGGTTATTTAGTCTTGTTTAAAGTTTAGGTGTTTGTTTTGGGGTCAAAATAGTTGAATTGTAGTTATAAATGAAATAAAAAACGAATTTTTTTTTTAAAAAATACATAAGTTAAAAAAACAATGAAATACATAAGAAATTATCAAAACAAGAGATAACATAAGGAATAACCTGGCTCTTCCAAGTTTTTGTGTTGTATTATTATTCCAAATGGTCTAACAAATATATGTAGTGAAAAAGAATGCCTAAATATGAATAATGTATGATTTATGGGCAAAGATGTGAATATTATGACCTTATTTGCATAAATTACCATAAATATGCAAATGAGTAAATTTTTCAAAAAATTGAAATTACCATAGTATTCTATACACTTCACTTGACATGTATGCAAATTTTCGCGGCGATCGGCAGTGAAACGGCCGAGATCTTAGGGGGAGGGGGGTCAAATTGACCCCCCCCCCCCCAGTAAAAACCTGGTCTGAAATAGCCCAGTTAAAATAGGGTTAAAGTTCATAACAAGCATCGTATGTAGACATGGTTCAGAATATACATTGGCATGGTTCAAAATGTAGTGAGTACATAAACTACAATGGATATATACTGCTGTAATATTTTTTTCTTCATATCAAACTTCAGTTGTGTATTTCATGCATTTGTACAAAAAATATGCTCAGGATAATAATTGTGTATGTGCTATCATAGAATGCTTGATAGGTATACATTTGAGGCTGGCAAGATCAATATAAAATAAATCTCAACATCACATAATCCTGGTAAATGCAATAGGTATCCAACAAATGACATTTACAAAATATGTTAAACCGTGATACATATCCAATCATTTACAATGGTACACAGACAAAGAAATCCATGTGTAGTGCATTTTACATTGTGCTCATATAATTTGCTGTAACATTATACTGAACCTTCACCAATACAAGCCAAAACCTGTAATCTTGAAGCATCATGCTCCATCTCATGATTCTCTTATTGTCAAACTTCTTCACTTGAATATACACATGTAGACCAAAGGTTTGTGGTCTGTGTGTACTTCAATACAAATATTATTTTTAATTTTTTGATTGCTCATACTATTGCTAAGCACTTTTTCTCTATTGCTGTGTAATTTTCTTCCCGTGGTAATAACTTATTACTCGCATAAGCAATCAGGAATTCTTCTCCCGAAAGCTACTGCATAAGCCCAGCACCCACACCCCTGTCAGATGCATCTACCTTCAATACAAACAACTGATCCTCAACAGCTTCCACAGAATGATCCTGACACACTTTACTTCTCTCTGTACACAAATCAAAGCAGCCAGCCACTGACAAGTTAACCTCCTCCCTGGGAAATTATTTGTTAAGAAGATTAATGTGATATGTCTTAAGAACACCATTAACATATACAATGTAGTCATAGTCATACTTCACAACAACCACAGGGAATGGATCCATCTATTTCAGCAACAGCTTGTTCTGATCAGCAAGAAGCAAAATCAACACCTGATTTCCGATATTCAATTTCCTGTCTCTAGCATTTTTATTCTAATACTTTTTGAATTTTCCCGCAGCACCTTTTAAGGCTTCCTGGGCTAACTCCCATGACTTCACCAACTTCTCACGAAGCTCTATGACATATTCATACTCATTTTTCAACTCAGGCATTATATCATCATTTGTCCACAATTCCCTTAACATATCAAAGACACTCACCAAGACCCAGTCTTCACTAAACTGTTTTCTGAAAATGTAGAAATATTGAAGATATTCAATGCCTACACGTATTTCATGGTGATAAAAAATGTTATATAAATCAAACATTTCCATTATCACCGCTGATATCAAATATAATAAGTGTTTCCGTTACTTTTACTACTGCTATCAGTTTCACCAATATAACTGTTAGTAAGTGAGAAGCATTACCCTTGTTCATCTCTCAGATAGATTTTATTACTGTTCACTTGGTTAACGCTAATGTTATCGTATTCAATTAATCAACGACTGAGTAAATTGATTTTTTGTTTACATTTTTTGTACAAAGCAAATGAGATATGAGCTCGCATGTAATGTCACACAGTTTTCAATTTGTGCTTGATTGGTAATACAACTCCACAAATTCATAACTTTCTCATTTCTTATCGAATTTTCCTCAAAATGTTATTGATTTGTTTCTCTTATTTATCTGCTTTTATGAAGACCAATTTATTTTTGGGGCGGACTTCCTCTTTAACACTTTAAATGTATATGTAAGCATCTTAAAAAATGGATATTTATAATTATATGGCTAACGTCATTAAACCCTTACTGTACTGGAGGCGGGGGGGCGGAAGAGCCCCCCCCCCCCTCCAAATACCATCCATGGAACTCTTCAGGAATGGTTAGGCTATATTGCACAACTTGATGAGATCCTTCTTCTTAAGGTTAAGGCTTTTTTTAAATGTTTCTCTCGGTAGACATGGTCCAGATTACGTGGAACTGATGATCTATCTTCTGGTATTCATCCGAGTAGTTATACTTGTAGCAGATGGTGCCTTGCTATTCCTTCCTTTATTGGAAGCTCTTTACATGTAGCCAGTTAAAGAAGTGTCCAACTTCGTCTCGGCGGGTGTTCTTCACGATCTGCTGTGAGAGATTCTTCAGATCATAAAAGTCTCCATGGCGCATGTTCATGACCTTGTATGAAAGCCGACGTCTTGCTTTGTGGAAGATTTTTACCCAGTCGTGCATTGTGAAGACATTGACGTTTTTTTCTTCTGTTTCAATAGCAGAATGCATCCATGTGGGAATGCCCACTCTCCAGAAAATTGTGTGCGATGACTTTGAGATGTGTGTTCTGGACGGCTTAGAGGAACGTTACAGCCACATTTACTTTGCAAATCAAAAGAAGCCGAGACAAAAGTCCTCTTTCCAGGAACTGCCTTGGCCTGGCATAGCTGCCAACATTTGGAATTGTCAATTAGTAACATTTAAGTAAAACTGAATATCATGTGCGCATAGCGCACATCACGAGTGTGAAGTCCCTTTAGCCGGGGTCCTAGATGCTCTCTGGTGCAATCTGAAACTATTTTAGGGACCATATCCCATAAAATTCAACCCAAGTTTAAAATGGGTAATTGAGAAATTACAAAAATGAGCAATGAGAACAAAACAGGTTTACCTGCCTTCCCTGACACTTGACTTATTGACGAACACCACTTACATCTTCTCTCCCATACTACTCTTTTAGAGCTCTGTATGTTGCAGATTCTGGTCTCTTCAGAAAATCAGAGTCAAATTCTATCATGTAGCAGGGTGTTGTTTGGCAAGCCCTAGTAATAAGGACAATTTCTAGAGTTTTGTTGCTCATGGACCCTCTGAAGTCAGTTTTGTTCTTTCGCTCCTGACTGAAGACCCTTTCACATTCAGCATTGGTATGGTATATGGTTAGAATCCCAAGCATTACTCTTGCAAGTCTGTCATAGCAAAGTTCACCAGAAAGATTCTTCTCTGTCATCATACTTGTCCACTGCTTGTCAGTGGATTCCTCATTGTGCACTAAGTCTGGAAGCTGAGTAATTTGATAGTTAAGGAACTGGTTCTCCAGAGCATCGAGAGCACTGTGCTTGTTTTCTTGTTCCTCCTGAAGCAGCATGCAGGGGAACTTGTTGATGAAGAACTTTAGAGAAGTGAATTTGGCATCCTTCTGACATGCAATGTCGGCCACTTGCGCATGGATAAGGACATCAGACTTCAATGGAAACTTACTTACAATGTAGTCACATGCCTTGGTGTAATATGAACGCACTGTTGCATAGAACTTATGGCAATCAGATTCTCCTTGTTCTTGTAGTCCAGAAGGGTCAAGTATGTGGCTGCAATGATTGCTTGTGGGGTTACAAATTTGCTGTACAAGTCACGCAGTAGGCTTTCTAGTACTTCTTTCAGCTTGTGTATAGGAGGAATTCTCGTCTGGAGGATGACACTATTCTTGTCAAACGCAATGATGCTGTGGCTGAGAAAATGTGCAATGGCTAATATTAGGTTTGAGTGCAATTCAGAACTCTTTCCTGTCTTGTTTTATCCTTTACTGTCTGTCTTGTTTCTTTCTTTCCTCCACATCTTGTTTTAAAAAAAAAACATTTCCAGTCATTTTACTAGAAACTTTAATCGTACTGGGATGACTGGAAGTTCCAGCCTTGTGCACTGTTGAGCTTGTTGCCTTGCCAACAACTTTCCCAGTCTTCTGCTTTTTGCTAGGTGTATCCGAAGTGTCCCTCACTTGTCGTATTTCCCCAGTAGTACAGCTTAAAGATGGTCTACTGTGTTGCGGCTGTGGTGCTTGAAGTTGAACCTGGGAGGAAAACAAATTATTGATTACCATATGAAAAAAAAACAAGACTACCGACACTGTTTACAATTAAAAAGATACATTAAAAATCTTAGAAATGACTAACATTATTGTATAAATGTTTATATCTGTAAACTGAACAGCGGAGTGTAGTTGATTGGAAGAGAAAGAATTAATAAGTAAATGAACTAAAAATAATAAGAAAGAATAAATGATGAAAAGGTACATATTTAACTTTCACCCTGTATATATGATCAACTTTTGTACTCACTTGGATCTGAGACTGGGCAGGTTTGCTCACATGTGGTGGATCTGCAGACACCTTCCTGGGAATGCGGAATGCTTGGAGTTGTGCAGTCATCTTGGTTTGGTGAGCAGGCTTTTCCTGCAGGACAAGACACGTTAAAAACTTCATGCGATGCCTGCAACACTATTGATAATGACTTATTTATAAGCAAAACATTTAATTACACATTAAATTAAATTTTGCAATTACCATTCAGGTTCATGTTATATCCATTTTTATTTTTGTTCAAACTATTTTAGAGTGTAAAATGATAATAACTGTTGCCAATTTGAGGAGTAAAAGCTGATTAATTCAAACATTAAGAAAACTCTCTACTGCTAGGGATACTCTATTCAAATCTGGTAACTTTAATGATGGCCATATTTAAATGGAATGAAAGAGAGTGGATGCCTTGTCGTAATACATTTTCTATCCTTACTTTCAGTTGAGATCCCTGAGCACGTTTATTTTTGACAGCTGGAGTTGGCTTCTTTGGGGCAAGTGAAGTCTGGACACTATGCTTGGTAGCATTGGTTTGATGAGTAGACTTCTTCTGGTAGGCTGACACTTCTCCTTCAAAAAAGAGGACTACACTCTAAATGAAAACTGCTCAATTTGAGTAAAAATGTTACTCTTTTAAGTAGTCAAAAGGGAACCGCTCAACATTTTGAGTAAAATTTACTCAGCTTGTGTTGTGTAACAAATTTACCCATCTGTTGAGTAAAAATATTACTCAATAAAAGACTAAATCTCCACTCAGTTTGAATGAGTCAACCTTTACTCAATATTTGCTCCTTTGTTGAGCGGTTTCCCTTTTTACTCAGCATCTGGGTAGAAACGTACTCAACTCATGTCGAGTAAGAAACTGCTCATGAGTTGAGCCAAATTTTACTCAATTAACGAGTACATGTTTTGACTCAAATTGTTTGAGTAATTTTTTGCTCAAATATTGAGTATTTATTTATTTATTTATTTCCTCTCATAGGGTGGATGGCCCTTTCAGCACAGCTGATTTTCAGAGGGGTCCACAAACATAACAATAACAATAATTATACAGTGAATTATACAATAATATGTAAAACGTTGCAAATGCAAGAAGTAAGGCAATGAATATGTACATGTAGTTACAACAAATAGATATCTAACAAATCAATGTACAAAACAAACAATAAGACAGTTAATTGCAGATATTCAACTAGAACGACAACAAGCATACGAATAAAACTGTAAAACCGATAACATAACACACACCAAAAAAAACATAAGAGAAAAACAAAATGAAAAAAACAAGACAGGAATAAGAGGATGGGTATAATATTTATCACGTTTAAAAGTTTTTTAAAAAATAAGAAGAAAATATATATATATATACAATTATAACATAACTAATAGAATATCAAATTGAAGGTAAAGTTGTAAAAAGGGCAAGACAATGTTCAGTCTATATGAGTTCATTCAAATCAATGGTGTGAACAAAGGTAGCCAGTGTGTTTAAGGTTCGCGTTTCAAAACAGAGACAATTGAATAATTTGGAGCTATAATAGAAGAAACTTCTTCTCAAAGACTCGGTCTTAGGCTTTGGATGCTGAATTTTATGATCGCTATTTCTTAAATTGTGTGGATTATGTCGTAATTCAACTCGTGAAGATAAGTAAGTTGGAGTTAAGTCGTGCATTATCTTGAATAACATGATCAAATTTCCTCTTGTCCATCTATCAACGATTGGGACTACCTTTGCTTGTTGGTAGATTTCTCGAGTTCTTTGCTCAAAAGGTGCCTTAATCATAATCCGTACAGCTCTATTCTGTAGAACACGTAGCTTATTTAATACGACTTGAGTAGCATTATTCCAAATTATAGAGCAATAATCAAAGTGTGTTTGAATAATACTAAAGTATAGCATTCTAGCAGTACACAAGTCAACAATAGGTCTGACTTTACGAAAGAGAAATAAGCCTCGGACAACTTTTTTGCGTACATGGTCTATGTGCTGTTTCCAATTCAAACTAGGATCAAGAATTACGCCAAGATATTTACAACTATAAACTTCTTTCAGTGCATTATTACCGATGTGTATATTTATATTTACATTATGAAACTACTCTTTTATGGGATCCAATAAGCATATATTCAATTTTGCTCATATTAAGTATCAGCCTGTTAATAGCATTCAGTCATAAAGTTACAGAATTAAAATCATAATTAACCTTGTTTGATACATCATTGGCACTATTGGAGGAATAATATATACACGTATGATGTTTTCTAGGTAACGCTTAGTTGCTCAATCAATATTTAGTAAAAACATGTACTAAGTTATTAAGTACATGTTTTTACCCAATACTGATTAAAACAAAGGTGGATTCAACTAGGGTTGTAACTTTTTGACTAAGGGTTTAACTAAACCGCTGATTAATATTGTTCTTTTTTAAACAGTTGTTAAGTAACAATTGAAGTTTGAAGTTTGAAGTTTATTTATTCCATATTTTACATAGAAAAACAGTTTATATTCTTTTTTTCTTTTTTTATATATACAGTCGTATATTATTATAAGAATAGATTTCACACAAGAAACAAAAATACAAAATTATTAAAAAAAATTAGAGAATTCAGATCAAATATAATGTACGGAAAATAAGTACGAGAATATAAACCATAATTTTGCCTGATTTCTAAATTAAGCATTGATTTGAAGTTCTTCACTCACACACTATGCAAATAACATACAGTCCACGACATTTTAAATTCAGTAACATAATTTGTGGATTTTAATTTCCAAAATCAGTTTGAATCACAGTGAAAACTCAAAGTTCTCTCATCATACATGATATTAAAAGTATGTAGTTTAAAATTTTCAATTTTAAAACAATGTTACTTTACATCGCATCATCATAATCAGCATTCAAGTTTTTGGCATCAATTCTGAATGTTAAATATCGCACTCATCTTGTTTTGATTAATGCCATCAATAAAAATCAAGTAAAAACAATTTAATACATGAATCTCCTGATTACCGAGTTACACATTTTAAGATTTAAAAGGAAGTTGCATTTCTTGGCTTCAATAAGTTTTTAGTGTCAATACTGAAAGTCAAAAAATGCAACTTCCTCTTAAATCTATAAATTTGTAACTCTGGAATGTTTTTTCCTCTCATTTATAGAGTTTTTTCATCATACATGTTATTAAAAAGTTTGTAATTTACAGTTTTCAATTTTAAAAACAATGTTACTTTACATCGAATCATCGTAATGAGCATTCAAGTTTTTGGCATCAGTTCTGTAAGTTAAATAATTGACACATATTGACAAGGATTAATGCCATCAATGAAAATCAAGTAAAAAAAAATAATTATAGAAATCTCCTGATTTATATTTTTACAGTGCGTCCCAGAAAAAACGAAACCGAGAATTATCGATATAATCATAACTTAATCACAATTAATAAATAACACATATTTGTAAAGCTTAGATCCCCCTCTTTTATTTAATGCAACTAGCATGATGCATATACCACGCATGAGTGATCAAAATAAATTTGAAGAAAGGATACCAAAAAGTCATAAGGCGGACGGTATCTGAATTTCAAAGATAAAACCACATTTATAGAAATTTCATTTTCTGCCCTTTAGTATGACACCTCAATCAGGGAAAAAAAAGTTCTGTTTGTTTAAAGTAATGCTTGCATTTCCATAATTTCATCAAACGAATTCCTTACCCCTGGCTGGCTGCCGGAACAAAAAACAGGATTGACAAAAGACTTAACACCGTTTCTTTGACAATCAGCCATGCATGAGGTCTTTTTTTCTATGGCTGATCTTAAACGAAAGTGAGTTAAATCTGTTGTCAATTTTGTTTGTTGATACGGCAGGCAGCCAGTGAAAGCGAAGTCGTTTTTATCATGGACCTACTACAAATGGACACTGATCGGTACCATAATACATGCATGCACCTAACTCGGTCAAAAGTATCATAATGACATTCCAAACATGCTTCCAAGATTTGATCTCATCACGACCGCCGCCAGTCAGCCATTACAAAAAAAACTGTGCCTGGAACTCTAAAAAAATGCCTGCGCAAAAGAAGCTGAATAGCTTGAAATCACGGAAATGCATGTGCAGTTTTCAATAGGAAATTAGAAGTAGTTTACAAGATATACCTCTAAATTTGGCTGTAACACAATGATTTAAAACTTCGTTTTAAAACTTATCCTTTCCATTTCCAAGGATTAGAAGGTAACAGGACAGTAAAGAATATGTATTTTTCAAAGTTTGGCAAGTCCAGATGTTTGTCCACCAGTGTCTACTTCTTTAATAACCAAGCTAATATCCCACTAATTGTCATAATTTGGGGTTCACTGCTCATCTAACTGGTTTTAGTATCACGATACTTTTCCTGAAACTACACTCTGGGCCCTCGCCTAGCGAAAAGAATCTGAAGAAATGTAAAAGTTCTTGCGTCAAATGAATGTCCTCATCAACAAACGCATTATCAGGTGGCCGTGATCATGATGTGATCAAAGAAAGACTCTCATTATTAGTCCATCTATACTAGGGTCCATGGTTTAATAAAAACCCTTGGTACGAATTCCATAAATAAGACGACCAAAGAAGTCCCATATCACAGCTGCCTGGGCGGGGTAATCCAGCTGTAGTACTTGAAACATCTTGTAGCAGTAGTCAACTGCTGCTGTTAATGAAGAGCACGAATAGGCGCTTCTCTCGATGAATACATAACACTGTTCTGGCTTCCTTGGTGTCATAGCACCAACAAAAACGGTTGGCTCCTTCCTCTGAAGGAGGTCAGAAGAAAGTCCAAGCCAGTTCCTTCCTAAAATGACAACATTTGGATATGAAGTTAACATGGTAGGAATTAACAAGGTAGAGGTCAATATGTGTATTAGGTTTCGATAGGCTGATAATAACTAATTGGTTTTGATAAAAGAAGATTGTCTTGTTCGGGGGGAAGTTGTCCTACTCAGAGTCTAGGGGGTAATTTTCTAGGGGGTAATTTTCTAGGGGGTAATTGTCCTCTGGGGTGGTTGTCTTCAGGGGGTTATTTTATGAGGGGGGGGGGGTAGTTGTCCCGCTGGTAATTGGCCGATTGCCCAGGGGTAATTGTCCTAGAACCATCTGCATCAATAGGCCTACCCCAGACCAATACGTGTTTCATACAAATACAATAAAGTAGGCTAGTTATTACCGGTCACTGAATTAATGCATGCACGCTCGCCCTTAGAGAATTGCCCAAGTTCACAATCACATTAATGACATCGAAAGTGACAACAGTAATTTCACAATCTTGATCAACACAGTGTCCTTGAGACTTGACTAATTATCACACGGTAGCTCTATTAATATTATCATGAGGATTTCTTACCTAAAAATGTCGGTTGGAGCTCTTCCAAGCGCGATCCATGAGCTCAGAATTTCCTCCACATGTGTCACATCTATCTCAGTTCTTTCGCACCTTTCTGCACGCGCACGTGCACGTGCGCTACACATGCGCATGTACGAGCCAGCTGTTGTACTTTACATCGATCAAACTTTCACAATTGAACATGGCAATACAGATGATGCAGCTTTGGCAGCAAGATCAATTAGATGATTGGGGCAACCAAGCACAATGAGGTTTGGCTGACACTTTCTGAGGCATGTCCCAATTCCCTTGTGTACACCAGTCATGACTGATGTATTGTTTGATCCCAATGATGTGCAATTGTCCCTTGGGATATCATGTTTCTGCAGCTCTGTCATGAGAAATTGTGCAATATTTTCACCAGTTCCTGCCATTTCCAAGGTTGGGAGGGAAAGCAGAGTGCAAGAAATCATCATAATGGCCTCCGAACTCAAAATTTCAATTTGCATATTATGACGTCAGCATATTTTTTGAAAATTGATTTTATCTCTGTAAATGTTGATCGATTTTCTTCTAAATTTTGATATGTTCTAGCTGAGACAATTTTCTACAAATATAGCTTCCATGATTTTTCATTTTGACAAAGGCATCATGGCGTATTTTTTCGATTAAAGGAGGCATGTCAATTTGTCACATTTTGCATGTATTCTCTATGGGACAAAACTTTTTCTCAAAACTGGATTCTACATTCCCATCTTTCGCAAGCAATATCTCCGTCGTTTAAACAGAGTTGACAAAAGAATTAACTCTGTTTCGTTTAAAATCAGCCATGCATCAGGTCTTTCGTCTTCTTTGTGCATGGCTGATCGTCAACGAAACGCTTTTAGGTCTTTTGTCAACTCTGTTCGTTGCAACGGCAGGCAGCCAGTAAAAACGAACCCGTTTGATCAAATAATGGAAATGCAAGCATTACTTTAAACAAACAGAACTTTGTTATTCCTGACTCATTTTTCTTGATTGAGATGTCATATGAAAGGGGAGAAATTGAACTTTCTAGAAATGTGATTCTCCCTTTAAAATTCAGATACCGCCCGCCAAATGACTTTTTGGTTTCCTCTCTTCAAATTGCTTTTAATCACTCATGCGTGAAATATGCATCATATGAGTTAGATCAATTGAAAGAGGAGGATCTAAGCTTTCCAAATATGTGTCATTTATTAATTATAATTGTGATTGATTAAGCTATGATAAAGCATCAACAGTTCTCGGTTTCATTTTTTCTGGGACGCACTGTATAACTTCTCCCTGTCTCTATATAGTAAATATTCAAATCTATCATAAGATTTGAAGACAGACCACCTAATTCGTCCTCATGACGAATTAAATTTCTAGTATTTATTTTATTTTTCAAATACTGACCTTTACGTATTGCATTTGTTGTTCTTCTTCCTATTATTATTATTGTTAATATTGTTTTTGTTTTGTTATTATTACTATTATTATTGAATTAATATCTCATTTCTAAATTAACTTTAAATTATGTTTTTCTTGGTATCAATTCTATATTGAACAAAAATAGAGTACAAGGTGCATACACTTCAATGACATATACATGTTGTACCAATAAATCAAACATGCTTGTGGCTCATATTACCTAGGAGAATTTTAGTAGGGGATGTATTATTCTTATATTTATCTTGTAAAATACCTTCAGGCTTCAGCTATTTTGTTGCTGCCTTTTGGTATAATGTCTTCATGAACAAAAAACTTTAGGACATACAAATTGCTTTTTAACATAGAATGCCTCCAAATAAAGAAAACATGCTTGTGATTCTAATTCCAACAAATACGAGCCACAAAGGAAAATTGTAGTAAGGAAAGTATATGTTCCAAAGCTAGACTGCTTTCATGTACAATAAAACATCCATTATTATCATCATTATCATTTTATGCTTGTAAATAACAATATCATTCTTTAAACTCTCTTATGGTATATTTTCTATAGCAATGTCTAAATTTTTGAATAACAATGAAAAGGTGCTATACTGAATATTTTCTGAGAACATTTGCATTTAATCCTTAAAAAATTAACAATACCTGTTTTCCTTTTGTATCAATTACTAATCACATCCGTTTTCAAATAACATTTAAATAAAAATTTAGCTCCATATATTACAAAAGGATAAGGGGTACTTTAATACCACTTTAAGTCATTAATAGAAAAATGACTTTAAAATGGAGGACAATGAACTCAATCTGTGTCTTAGTTCACACAAATTAACTCCTGTTAATTTTGATGATGTTCTGCAAACCAAAACTGAAAATGCATTTTCTCTTACACATGTCAATATCAGATCTTTGAATAGAAATATAGAAAACCTAAAACTGTTATACGAATGTAGTATCAAATCAAAATTTGATATAATATGTTTATCTGAAGTGTGGAGCGTACCAGACACATCCATCTTGGGCATACAAGGCTATACTTTAGAGGTGAAATGCCGCAATCATACTTTAAGAGGTGGAGGTGTTGGTGCATACATTCACTCTTCCCTTAAATACAGGCTTTTGGGAAATTTTGAAGTAGCACATGCTGAATCACTTTGGTTGGAAGTAGTAATTAATGAAAAGAAGATCATTATTGGTGTCATCTATCGCAAGCCAAATACAGATAATCATGAGTTTCAGGATAGTCTGTTAAGTATTGTACATGATCTGAAATTAGACAAAAGTCAATGTGTGCTAACTGGAGACTTCAATATCAATCTTCTAGGCGATGAAATGGCAGCTGATAACTTTCTCACCTCCATGCAATGTATCGGCATGCATCAATTGATTAATTTTTCTACTAGAGTAACGCAACATGGCTTCTCTTTGATTGATCATATATATACCAATATGAATGTTCCCAGTATTCATGCAGGAATAATTGAATCTGACGTTACAGACCACTTTCCGATCTTTACCATTTTTAAGTCTAATATACAATTTAAGAAAAAGTCTAGCCGAGGAAAATTAATGTCTCGTTCTTACAAGAACTATGATGTTACAAAATTCCATGCTGAGCTTGCCAATATAACATGGGAATCAGTTTATGCAGCGGATGATGCTGATCTCGCATACTCCCGTTTTTGTGAAATCATGACAAAAGTGTGTGATGAGCGTGCACCAGTTGTAGCTCAACACGGTAAAAGGAGAAAGAACGAACCTAAGAAACCTTGGATTACAAAAGCTATAATGAATTCCATAAAAAAGAAACATACAATGTATTCACAGGTTCTTGCCACCAACCACAATCCTGTCTATTTAACAACATACAAGAAGTACAGGAAAATGTTAACTACAATAATCAGAAACTCAAAGAGAAATTACTATAGTAGGATATTCCTTGAAAATAAGGGTGATACTAGCAAAACATGGAAGACTGTAAACGAGATTTTAAGTGGTGGAAACAATTCGTTTAAGCCAACAGTGGTGGATAAATTGTGTGTGAATGATACTGGTACTAATGAAACCCTGTGTAATGAACAAGATATTGCAAATGCATTTAATGACTTCTTTGTTAATGTTGGTCCAAATTTGGCGAATGCCATACCAAACACAAATCGTAATACAGAGAAAGTTTTAGACGATGGTGTAGACAAATCTTTCTTCTGGAAACCAGTTACTGAGACTGAGGTTAACAACCATTTAATAGCCTTGAATGTAAAGAAAGCTAGTGGGTATGATAATATGCCAATCAAGCTGATAAAAGATGCTGTGCACTATGTAACTTCTCCCCTTACATTTATTTTCAATCTGTCTTTCACCTCTGGTAAATTCCCAGATGCCTTTAAAATAGCAAAAGTGACACCTGTTTATAAGAAAGGACCTAAAGATGAAGCAGGAAATTATAGACCTATTTCAGTATTACCTGTTCTTGGGAAGGTTTTTGAAAAAATTGTAAATAATAGGCTTCTTGACTTTCTCGAAAAAAATCATGTATTATATGAGCACCAGTATGGCTTCCGTAAAAAATACAGTACAAAATTGTCAATGATAAATTTAGTTAACACTTTGAGGAATTCAATGGATGAGGGAAGAATCACACTTGGGATATTTGTAGACTTTAAGAAAGCATTTGATACAATTAATCATGATATTTTATACAGCAAACTTTCACACTATGGAATACGAGGAATAGCATTACAGTGGTTTAAGGACTATTTTTATAGAAGATTTCAATTTGTACAGTACGGAAATGTAACATCTCCCATGCTGCCTTTAACATGTGGTGTACCGCAAGGCTCTGTCCTAGGCCCAACGCTTTTCCTACTTTATATTAATGATATGCCATTTGCTACACGTTACTTTAACTTTCGACTCTTTGCGGATGACTCAAACTTATTCCATACATTTCCTGAAGGGCAAAAAGAAATTGATATGACTGAAGTGAACACAAATCTTCAAATTGTTTCAGACTGGTGTAATGCTAATAAACTGACAATTAATTTACAAAAGACGAGTTATATGCTAATAAGAAACCAGAGACGGCAGATTAATGTTCAAGGGCAACTGGCTATATCAGAAGCTGAAATAATAGAAGTTGATTCTTCGCTCTTTGTTGGGATAAAGATTGATAAACACTTGACTTGGAAACCCCACATACAAATGGTTAATAAATGCATCAGACAAAAAGTAGGAATCCTCTTCCGCTTACGGCATTTTGTGCCTAGAAATATCCTAGTGTTGTTGTATAAAACCTTTATTCAACCTCATATATCATACGGAATTGAAGTGTGGGGGAGCACTTACAAGTCTCACTTAAATTGCATACTGTATACACAGAAGATGGCCATACGGACAATCACATTTAGCCATTTTATGAGTCGTTCAGCACCATTGTTTTACGAATTGAAAATCTTAGATATTAACAAGTTCTATGAGTTGTCTCTATGTACATTTATGTATGACCTAGTACATAATAATTTACCTCACTGTTTGACGGATTATTGTGATAAAATTGAGCATAGATACAATACAAGAAAAAGAGAAAAGGGCCATCTACGTATACCACTGTATAAAACAACACAAGGCAAATTTTCAGTAACTTGTGTAGGAACCCGATTATGGAATGAACTTCCCGATGAAATCAAAAACAAAGGGTCTAGAAACACTTTTCGTAAACATCTCAACGATTACTTGATGAATAAGTGATTGAATTATGCAAGTACACATGTATATATTGTAAATAATCTCCATATTACATTTTTGTTGTTTTTTTTTGTCAAAAAAATGCAATTTTTTGTATAAATAATCTGTAGATACATGTATCTATGACTTTTTAACCTGGTATATCCTCTTCATAATTATATTTGGAGTGTAGAAATTGTGCTACGGTATTACTCAACATGTATACTTCTACTGTCAAGTTTTATTTTTTGATAATGATATATTTATTTTTGCCAAGTGTGTGCTAAGAACAGGGGCCAGACTCGACTAGCACATGTGCTATTATTTGGCTCCTTTTCATCACCTTCTATATTCTATGAGAAAAGACATATGTCTAGCATATCAATACTTTGTTAGGTTTTTCTTTAATATGATCTATAATATTCATTTATGAACATGTACCATTCACGATGTATTCAAATGTTTAATCACTGATGTTATTGATGATGAATAAATAAAATCAAAATCAAATCAAAATCACATGGGAAAGGGCAAATATTATAAAGGAATGGGGTACTTTTGGGAGTAAAAAGACTGACCTTAATTAACAGACATAAAAGGGGCACATTTTGCACCGAAATAGCCCACTCATCACAGGTGAAAAAGGGCACTAATAACAAGGGGAAAGGGCTATTTATTAAAAAGAAAAAGGGCCACTTCTCAAAATCAAAGGGCCACCTATCACATTTTTATACCACCATTTATCACGGGTTAAAAATTATATAGTGCCATACATTCATCTTACACATGTATTTCTCTTCATACGGACTAATACAAACTGCCTAAGTCCTCATTCAAGCAAATGACAATTATTCATTCATGACATAAATAAAGGTCATCATCCACTATGTAAACAAACTATGAAACAAAGCCATGCTGGGTAACTTTCAACAATGTGCCTCACTATGTGACATGTAACTAAATAACTTGGTAACATATCCACACTCAAATACATGTACTAAAATCACGTAAACAATATGATAGATAGCTCTTATATTATGACATAATTCCTTTTAATAATTTAATGCTATGTTACATCTCATTAAACAATATCAAAGTGTTTATTCAAAGAGTTAAACTTTTTATACACGTAAGCGAACTCACACCCATGGAGCAAAAGTCTAATGCCCTGCAGTAACCAAATTCTGAACTTAACACTGCACCAGAAACTATACCTATAACCCTAACACTAAACCTATAAGCTCAATGTGCACTGCATGAACAATACATTATCACTGTTAGCCATTCATATTGCAGCAAACTTTTGATCTTTTGTATATGACTTTTGTATACTACTTACATAATTTTAAAGCTAATACTTAATCACATAATAAATTCACATACCTCGAAAAAAACCCAGTAAAGTCACTGCAATTCCCTCCTACGCTCGGGACTTCCTGGTCTTCCTCTTACTGACATCCTCTTGACCAAGGCCTTACATATCATCCACTTGGTATCCAAATGAATTCCAAATGTCTGAACGATTCAATTCTAAGATATACGATACGCATTTTTACTGGTTCTTGCTACAGAGATCACAGCACCCCCTTGTTTTTTTTAATTGAATCCCCTCACAGTTTCAGACATTAACTTTTAACAGACTTCACTGTTTATGTTTCATCTTTACCACGGCCAAGTGCCTCCTGCTCTACTGCCCTTTTGAAGAAAAACAAAGACGTACATTCTTATCCAACAAGACAGTCAAATAAATTTCACCAATCCAATCCCAAAGCCGCGACGGCACATTAATCAACTACCGGTGTACATAGTGGCCCGGACATATGGAATTCCCTGTCTCCCTGGATCAAATGAATATTCACTCAGAGTTTGCATTCAAAGTAGCAGTGAAAAGAACGTTGTTCTCCCAATATACTGTTTAATCACGAATACTTATGTCTGCTTTATTAACAATGATATTTGCAACCAACTGTAACTCCTTCTCACTTCAACCCCCACCCCCTCTCTCTCCCCCTCTCTCTCTCTCTCTCTCTGCCTAGCATTCTTCCCTTCTCTTTGCTGTACTGTTGCATCACCAAGTACTCCCTACTTTATGTATTTTGCTTGCACATGTACGTTATTGTCAGGGCTCACAAGGCATCAAGCTTTGCTTATCTTGAAGCCCTGGCCAGTTCTGTTTAAAAATCAGTTCATATTTCTGTTTTAATGTATACTGGTGTTATTTTGTATTCAGAACTGAAAATGAATAAATGAAATGAAATCTTACTAACTATAATGTAAATTAAAATTACAAAAT